ACCCCACCAACCTTCTACATTATCTTCTTTATGCTCTTCATTACATGCAGAGCATATTCCTGAATAATCATAATAATTGGCAAACTTAATGCCATAATTGTGGAACTAGAGAAAAATAAGACAGTTACAGCTAAACTCGAGTCTAAAAACACAGAATTTAGAGATAGGATCACAAAAGTGGAGCAGAGGTAGATGCTAAGTGATAATGTTTCTAAAGTAATCAATTCTTCCAATAACAGCTCGCCTAACTTCAATTCACTTGCAGATCAGTTACCTATGGAAATGGATACTTTATTACCTGAAGAACTGATACCAGAAGAGTTACCAGAGCCAGCTATTAATATATCTGTTATAGACCAATGTGATCAGACATCCTTGAAAGGTAAGGAAACGGATGCTTTCTTGAATGAGGTGCATAAGAAAAAGGTTAATGATGAGATTAGACAGCGCAATAGGGAGAAGAAACTCCTACACGAATCGGCTAATCAAGAGGCATCCTCAATTTCCTAGGATATTTCTTTTGTGAAGAGTCATGATTAGAGCAGTTCAGAAAATTTGGAAAATAATGGAAACTCTGTCATAAAACATGATGATATCGGTAACCATTCATTTTGCAATAAAAATTTGCGGGACTGCACGGTCTCGAAAAATTGTCAAGAAAAAATTTTTTTATTAATACACTTAGATTTTTATTTCACATCGACACTTTTGCCAAGAAAAAATATTAATATGGTAGATAATATAAAAAATATATCATTCAATTGTGATCTCAAGAATAGCATTAGGTAAACTAGTCATTTTCGTTATCTTTACTGACTGAGTCAGTCACGCAATAAAATCGTTGGATTAAATCCAACAAGTGTAAAACGCCAAAAAAAATTTTAAAAATTCTCGATTATATGCGAGTAATGTACATCGATAATAACACAATAAAATAAATTCACGAAATACACATGCAAAAGTAAACAGATTATGTATGCGAAATCATACCAGGTCGGCTTTATTGAAACAACAAAAAATCAAAATGCAGGACAGGATATATATTCTAAAACCTTGCACTTTTTTTCTTCTTTAAACTCCTGTCTTCACGCGAGTATATCAGGGCAGCCCCCCAATGTTCGGGTCGATCATCGACCTGGGTCGACGATCGACATCGGATTCGACAATCGATGTCAGATCTGATGATCCGATGATCCATGTCATCGTCTCATAGCAGTTATTCTAATCGTATTTTTTTATCTTAAGAGCTTGAACTTCCTATATTGTACGTCTAGACAATTGAAAAGTTACTTCAAAATGGGCACAGTTTCGAGGTTATTATTTGTGCTGGTGAAGGGCAAAACATGAAAGTTTCGAGCACATTCACTTATTTTAAACGCTTTGTTCTACTTATTTTAAATGCTCGTTCTACTTATTTCAAAGCTGCTTTTTCTGCTAATTGGGCTAAAAAGTAAGGTGATTGTTTCGTTTCTATAGTACCATATTTGAACTAAAAAAGTTTCTAAAAACTCTTATTCAAACTATAAAAAAAAAAGGAAGACGTGAGGTGCGAGCAGTGTTTAAAATTTAGTGATCCTATGGTCCTCAAAGAACATGCAATTTTTTAACATTGATACGTATTTAAAATAAAGTTTTTATATTTAAGAACATTTTATTACTATAACATGTTCTCAAAAAATATTTAATTCAATCTAATAAACCAGTGCTTCGAAAAGGTCAATTGGGTTGAGTTTAGAGTCAAACTTGAGCGAATTGAAATGGAAGGTTGACCCGATCTTATAAGTTTTTAAGAAAATATTTTTTTGTAAAATAAATAACTGGATTTATATAAAATTCGATCGATTTATTTATGTATTAGTGTAGAATTTTATTTATACATTGTAATAATTCATTAATTATAATAAATGTATTATTTTCATTAAATGTATTGTATTTATTAGAAAAATATTTTTCGTATCTATAATAAAGCTATCTAGTACTTGACTTTAAATATGCAGTACTTTTAAATATACTCACCATTATTTCTATTTTTAATAAGTATCAATCTTATTTCGCTTATACATTGATTAATGTTTTCCATTTTCAGCTGATAAATTATTAGAACAATACATTGCTTCCTGACGCGTGGCTACATAAATAAAAATGCATAAAATTGATCAATTCGCGCTATTATGTTTAGATTAAAAACTCAATACCATTGTCTTTTTCCATGAATCCATTTTAATGCGATCAAGGACTGATTTAATACAATCAAATCTTTCCATTGATCAGTTTTAATGCGATCGGAATATGCCTGAACGATTCTAGTGACATATGCAGTTTCTAAAATTAATAAAATCATAATTAGTCACAATTGGAAACAAAATTGAGTTAAAAAAAAGAACAAACATGATAAATCTTAACTAGAGCGTCTAGACCAGGGCTAAAACTACATATAGTAAATTCCGGTCATCCCAAGTGTCATTATTGATGCATAATTATTGCGATCAAAAAACTAACAATAATAAAATAATATATTATATTTAATTTAGATAGATCAAAAATGACATTTTGGATGACCAGAATTTACTATATGTCGTTTTAGCCCTGGTCTAGACTTATGCAGTTTCAAAGATTTTTTTATTGTTCAAGCAATGAAAAATTCCTGAAATCGTGATTAGTTTGGACACTCTAATCTTAAAATTGTTATTGCATAGAACCAATCCCATAGATCTGCATCTTTCTTTTACATTCATAGCCTTATATTTTTTTTCTACATGCAGCGGCGCATCATATTTTCTTGCCCTATTACAAACAATGCCATTAGTTAACTTCACTATAATAACAAGTTTTGGTTATCTTATATAAATATCGATGTTGCTTACCATGAGCGAAGCGATGTGCCAGTAATATTATTCAAGAACGAACGAAATAGTTAAAATGCAATTCTACAAAATGAAACAATGCCCAGGGTGTAAAGTTGTTCACCCAAATGAAGAATTTATTTGGGATGATAAACGTAACAAAACGTGTATTTACTGCAAATTTGACGAATGCACAGGGTGTAAGCTTCCTCGCCCAGATGAAAAATTTGTTTGGAATAGTAAACGTAACAAAACGTATATTGATTGTAAAAGGAATCGTGATAGAAGAAGAAAGCAGAAATCTACACCAGTAATTACTGATTCAACCGATTATGTTGAATCAGTTAACCAATCTGAAATTACTAGCCAAGAAACAAAACAAGTGAATGATGATGAATGCATTGAAATCGATTACCTCGAGGTGGGCAACTTTGTCGCAAATAAGATCCAAGAGCTAACAGAAAGTATAAGTGTCGACGGTGTAGCTAATATGGCCTACAATATACAATTTTTAGTAAAAATGAATTTAGACGCACAAAATATGACGGCAAATGAAATTGCTAGCCTTATCATTGCTGAAATTGAAGGCGGGGATGATTTTTCATGGATGTGGGTTTAATTATTATTTTTTTTATTTTTAAAATTTTATTTTTTAAAATTTTATTTTTTTTTTTGTTATTTTTGTTTTTTTATATTGCACAAAGTTTGATTTTTCGTTTTGCGTTACCAGACCACCCAGTTTTTCAATTTTTTTTTTTTTAAGTCCCAATCGTGCCAATTATAAAAAAATCAGAGCACCAATTTTCAAATTCCATGTAATGCGCGGCCTAATATTATTTTTTTTTTAAATTTTTTTTTTTTTTTTTTGTTATAGCTATCAAGAAGCAAATTTATCAAAAAAATTTGGCAGCACAATTGGCAGATTCACATATCTGTGCTGCCAATCAAGAGAATCCCAAAGCGAAGAATATAAGAACTCTAATCGTAGGCGACGTGTGCGTTATGATTGTAAGGGCAGAATTTCTGTACGGGTCGATACAGTTCTTGGTGTTGTGAAGGTGAATATTCGTCATGATTCTCTCCATCAACGCCCAGATTTTTGTACTGAGATGACAAACGAACTACGGGAAGAAATTAGAAAGTTTGCTCACCTTACAATGGCTCAATTGACAAGCCATCTACGAAGTCAAGGAGTCGATGTTTCAAAATATTCATACAAGTGTATACATTATTGGAAGACTATGGTAAATCAAAACATATACCAACGCCATAATAACCAAGTGGAATCTACACGCAGGCTGCTTGACGAATACAGAAATCAAGATTTCTGCAAATGCCTGGACTTACAAGACTCAGAATTCACAGCCATCGCATTTACAACTCCATTGCTTAAGGAAATAAATAATCTCAATATTCGTGTTACTGAGATTTACATTGATGCCACATATAAAACTGCGCATGGCCGTTATAAACTTTATAGTATTGTCGCTGACGTTGATGGTGCCGGTTATCCAATAGCCTATCTAATAATGAATACGACAAAGGCAAAAAATACAAACCCCAGTACAGGAAAACGTTGTATTATATTAGAAGACTTCCTTGCTGCTATTAAGGTAAATTGCAATAAAATAAATAATAAAATTAAAAAAATTTAAAATCGAAAATAAATAAAAAAAAGTATATGGGCGAAAATTTCCAGTGGAACATTGTGATTATTAAAATTAAATATGATGGTCTAAATTACTATAAAGTAACTGCACTTTTTATTGTCGCTCTGAATGATTCTGATAAGTATTTCATAAAAAATTTTATGATCATTCACTTTTAATCTCAGTAGTTACTCCAAATCTTGCATACGTTTGGTTCAAAAAACTTTTATGCATAATATTATTAAAATTGGAAATTTTTACCCATACGGTTCGTCATAGTAAATCTCTTAAGAATCCATG